CTTGGGATCAACTCTAGAAGTCACCTCCCCACTCTGTGCCCATCACCCCGAGAATGAGTGAGGGACCGGTGGACTTCAGTTTCCAAAGCAATGCTGGGAAGGAGGCTCAGATCCTGGTCCCATGGCCAAGAATTCCTGTTGGCAACCCAACGTGCCATCCTGCCTCCTCCTGGAAGGTGGACAGTGAGCCAAGCATTCCTTGCAGCTCGCCCCGTAGGAGTTGCTCGATCCCTAGGGAGACATCTTACTCACTTAGAGGGTATGTGTCCACTTGAGCGGGGGCGGGAAGCAGAAGAGATGGATTCCCCCAAAACACACAGCCGGTGGAGATGAGAAGTCCAGTGAGCCTGGGACAACCCCCTCCCCAAAATGAGAGCCCCCCCACCAAGGATTTTGAGAATTCACTCCCTATCCCCTCAGAGAAATCTGGCCCCTGACCCTGGGAGGCCCCCAACCAGTTTCAATTCAGTGACAACAGAGTCAGTGTTTACTTGGAACAAAGCGTCATGGGGAAATGAAAGATGAATCAGAACTGGGCCAGCCCCCTCAGCCTGGTGGGAACACTAGAACATGTATACACATCTTCTAGGGAGAATGGCCCAGGGCCAGCCGAGAGGCCCAGAGGAAAGGCCTGGCTGTGAAGATCTGAATCCTGGAAGGCTTTCTGGAGGAGATGGTGTTTGAGCTGAGCCTTGAAGAATGTGTGAGAATTTCTTAGGTTTCAGGGAGGGGCCTGGGGGCAGGCGTTCTAGGTGGGGAGAACTGCCCACGCAGGGGAAGAAGGGCGAGCAGTGGGCCGCAGGGGGCTGCTGGGTGGCTGGCAGGACACAGAGAGCACCCACTGCAAGGCAGGTGGGGGAGCCACTGTGCATGAAGGCGGTGACAGGGGAGACACCCGTGACAAGCACAGGCGTAGTCCGCCTGGGCTCTGAGCCCGAGGGAGAGGTGGGCACCCACCAGGAAGCCCACCGAGGCAGGGCTCAGCCGGCAGTGGGAGAGCAGAAGCGGGGGACAGACCGGGAACAGACAGAATCGCTCAAATCTCTGGTCCCAGCCCCACGGCCACAACCGGTCCCCTGTGGCTCTCTAGGAAGAGCGGTCAACGACACCAGGTCACTCTCTGAGGCAGGTCACCGGCCCTGCCCTCTCTTACCTGGCTCTTGGGTGGGGCCCAGACTCACTTCACGCACAGCAGAGGGGGCTGCGCTGCAGTGGCCTATCCAGAGAGAGGGTCTCAGACGGAAGCAAGGCCCTTCACTCCTGGGCACCTCACTCAGCCTCAACGTGAAATGGAGAGAAGGAGCTTTGGGCCCCTTTCCTCTGCCGGGAGTTAAACATTTATTGCTTGTTATGATTAAGCTAACATTTATTTACCATCACTGCATGCCAACACTGGGCAGTTTATGTCATCCTCACGATGACCCCCTGTGACAAAGGACGTGGTGTTCTCCACCCCCAACCCCCTCCACAGAGAGTCTAAGAGGCAGAGAGAGGGTGAGTTTCTTGACTAAGATCACACAGCGCACCGCAGTAAGGGACACGCTTAGCCAACACAACACTGTTACTCCCTGTAGGCAGAGCGGGGCTGGAGCAGAACAGCATTCCTCGGACTTTGAAAAGAAAGATCCAGCCCCACGGCCATAAGTCATTATGGATATCAGTGTCCACCACAGTACAGGGGAGGGGCTGAGAGGCACAGAACTCGGCCTGGCTCTTCCGCTCACTCAGGACTGGGCAAGGCCTCCCACCCCAACCCCCTGTGAGGAGTCCCTCCCTCCACCGCAGCAGCCAGGCAGCTTTCTCCTCCGAGGCTGCCTGTGGGTGTGGGGTCTTGAGGCCTGCATGGTTCTGGTCCTGACTCAGCGCCAGCGTCCCCTGTGACTTGGCCTTCCCACCCCTCCAGGCCCCACTTGGCTTCTCTGAGAAGGGAGAAGTGGACCAGCTGACCTCCAGGACCCCTGCAGCTGGGCCCTCGTAGGATGCAGACAATCAGCTCGTTCTTCGTTCTTCAGCGACTGGGCGAACGGGGAGGCAGCTAGCGAGTATGAAGACATTCCGACTTCGCTGCTCTTGGGAAACCCCAGATGGAATTTGGCGCGGAATCTAGAGGGACCCACGGACTGCCTGAGGCCTCCGGGCCTCCCCTCCCGCGTGCCTAAGCACACACGTGCGCGCATACACACACTTCCTTCCCGTGGCCAGATTGTCAAACAGAAGATGGTGTCCCTGTGCAGGAACTCCCTGCCTCCGGACAAGAATGTCCCCTGTCTCCTCGGCCTGGGGCCCCATTGTGCCCCCCACCCCGACCTCACCCATCAAGAATGCTGGGGCCCTGGGAGCCACGATGGATGTTGACAGTGAGGTTTGGTGTTCTCGGGCTGACTGAGCTGGGACCACCCACCTCCGGGTCCTTCACCCTGTCCCCAACTGCAGGAAGGTGCAGAGAAAGGCAGGTTGGTGTCATGAAAAAAAAAAACTGGGGACCAAGAGGCAGGTGCCAGGGGCCCTCTGGACTCTGCCCCATGAGCCTCCCTCTCCCACTGGGGAGATGTGGGACAGGGCGTGGAGTAGCTGTTCTCAAATGATTGCATCTATGACATTTTTAGGAACATGCGTAGGGTTGCCAGGTTTAACAAATAAAAATACATGACACCTAGTTACATTTGAATTCCAGATAAGCAACACATAAATTTTAGTATAAGTATGTTCCAAATATTGCATGGGAATATTTAGTATATTCATACTAAAACATTATTCAGTTTATCTGAAACTCCAATCAAACTGGGCATCCTGTATTTTGTCTGGCAACGGACAACAGATCTGTGTCAGGTGGGTGCCAGAGAGCCCGAGGGGAGTAATGCCAGCCTCCTGCCCTCCGCCTACCCCTCCTCAGGGCCCTGGCACCTGCCTGGTCCCTTCACCTCGTCAGTCCTCCCAGCTTTCCACGTCCACCCCTCAAACTCCTCCATCCCCCTCCCAGCTCTGTCATTTCACTCCCCAAGATACCCTCTCCCCTTAAGCTCACCCATCTTCCTCTCCCCTAAAGGCCACGCCTCTGTAGGACTGCAGGTCTGCTCAGGGTGGCAGGGGATCCCAGCCATGGGTGTTGGTACGACAGGGCAGGGGCAGGAGGGAAGCCCAAGTCAGCAGCAGCCTCACCAAGGAGACAGCAGTGTGGGTGTTGCTGGGAGAAGTTTCCAGCACTCTCTGTTTTAGGACCCCCTTGGGAGAAGGGCCAGCTGGGGCCAGAGCCAGCTGCTTGGGCAGGAGGGAAGAGATGCCCATGACCTTCTCCAAACTCAGAGTCACCAGGAACTGGAAATAGAGGCCATTTTGTGCAGCCAGACACTGATTTCACTTGGATCAGGAGAATGGAAGATTCTGTCCTTAGGGGCAAAAAAAGGGCCAACGGATAATGAGAAACAGAGACCGGGAAAGAGGGACAGAGAGAGACCAGGGAGTCGGTGAGAAATACAGTCAGGGAGCCACAGGACCAAATCAGAGACAAAGGAAATAGAAACACACACAGAGAGAAACAGACTCCAAGGGAGACAGTGATTCACAACAGAGAAAGGAAAACAGGCAAACACGCAGATGGAGAGGAACCGCGTGGACACAGCGATGGGGAGAGCAAACAGGAGGACGGACCGGGAGGAATGGGGAGAGACAAGGAGAGGTTACACAAGCCAGAGACGAAGACAGAGATAAACAGAAAGCGGTGAGAGAAAAAGAAAAGACAGCCAGAGGAGGAAGTCTGTCCATCCCTACTAAGTTGGGGATCTTTTTCAGTGGCAAAGTCAGATTTGAGACGCGGCAAGAGACGCCTAACCAGCTGGTTGCTGAGCCTCTCCGGGAGCCCTCCCCCGTCTCCCCCGGCCGGGAGCAGCACCCCACCCACCATCTCCCCTGCGTCCCCTCCCCAGGGGTCCGGGCTCCATCTCTCCAGCTCCGGCACGGGGCCCACACGTCTCCTCTGTGTTTGGGCATCTGGCTCTCGCCCGGTGCCTATGGCCCCCCGGAGGCGGCCTTCCACCCCGCGCACCAGCCAGCTCCCCCCGCGCCCCCGAGCGGGAGCGCGGTGAGACCCGGCCCCAGGTCCCATCGGCGCGCCGCCCGGCTCCGTGGGAATCCGGCGTTGGGCGATGCTGCCACCTGCCGGCCGGACCCGGGAAGCACAGCGCGCCTGGAGGGCTGGGGCGCGGCCGCCGAGGGTCGGAATCCGGCCCTCCCAGCTGGGACCGCCTCCGCGGGGTCTTTCCAGGAATCCGGATGGGCCTGCTCGGCGGCGCCCCTGCTCGCCTAGCTTCCGCTTTTCCCCCAGCTGCCGAGCCAGGGGGCAAGTCTCTGAACCCTGGGCCTTAATTTCCCCTAGAGTCAAATGGAGGCAGTGTACCAACACATCCTCCCAGGATTGCAGGGGACCCTGGGGGGACACGAATGTACTAATGCTGTGCTCCTGAAATCAACCAGGCCGCCGGTCCCTCTCTTCTTGGCCAAAAAAAAAGTGACCCCCCCCCCACCGTACAATGCCCTCAATCCACTCCCGGGCCTCCGCCTCCCTCTCCCTCAACCACTGTCCCCCGCAAGCCCAGATGGGAAGGGGCTTGCAATGGGCGGCTCGCTCTGCCCGCATCCTTTCCCTCAGCGCCCCCCACCCCATCCCCGGCCCGGCGCAGCACTGCCTCCCTCAAGCCAGGGGCCACTTAAGGGTGTAAGAGCGGGGACTGGCAAGGACTAGCTCTAGACCTGACCCCACATTTTTTTTTTTTTTTTTTTTACCGGTTAATCTCTTCTACCTCCCAACTCCCTAGACCCAACCCCGATCTTTTCCCCTCTCCTCCCCACCCCCTTCCTGCCCCAAGTCCGGCCCTTCGCGGGTGCATAAGCTCCGCCCCCATCCCGAGGCGGGGCCCCATAGGTGGAGAGACGTGGGAGAGGTCGCGGCCCCGCCTCTCCCCTCCTCCCCCTGCACACGGAAGCTCCTTGGCCCCCGTGCCAGGATGTCCGACACCTGGGTCCCCGGCCTCGTACCCACCTTGCTGCTCGGCCTGCTGGCCGGCCCCCAACAGGTGAGCGCTTGGGAGGTAAAGCTATAGAACTTTCAGGGCCCTACCCTTGTGGGTCAGGGGCCTACTTCTGGAGCTCGGTCACCACCTTCCATTGTCAGGATTTCCTCGTGACCGTACGCAATTAGCGACTTCCTTTCTCTTTTTGCCGGGGAGGTGGGGGCGGCGGAGGGAGGCCCTGAGGAGGCCTGAGTTCTTACGCCTGCGGGGGGGGGACCTTGTAGGGACCCGGCCCCCGCCCACCACCATCTGACACCTAGTGCCTCTCTGTGAGTGGGGACTTTGACCCTCCTATTAGCCTGAGCTCGTCCTTCCCGCTTCTTCCCGCTGCGTCAGAAAGCGGGGACTAGCGGGGACAGAGGGCTGGACGCCTGGCCAGCCTGTCACCCTAATTCTGTTCCTCCAGTGCTGGGTGACCTTGGAGGAAGCACAGGCCCTCTCTGGGACTGTGTCTCAGCTTGTGCCTTAGGGGAGAGAAGGCTCCCTTCACCCCTCCTGGGAGTGGGAGTAGGATTCCAGCCTGTGCAGGATTTGATCTGGCTGCTTGACCCAAGGCTGGGTTGACCTCTGAAATCCATGATTCTCACCGGGGCACAGGTTTATGCGCCCCCTCATTCCTCCCGTTCCTCCACTAAACTCTGAAAATGTTGGGGGAGATCTGTCCAGTCCTGGGATGGGAGATCATGCTGGCAACTCACATGGGCCCTAGAACAGGGATTTTTCACTTCTGTTTAAGAATGCGACATGCCGGGCCCCCTCCCCAGAACAGGGCACAGACACGACTGTGTTGCCTCGCGGGACTCTGCCCCTGAAGCCTTGGCGCTACTCCTCAGCCACTAGGCAAGCCGGTGGTGCCGGCACTAAGCTGAGCATCCTCTTGATTTCTCCCAGCAACTTCAGGCGGCAGGTGCTGATTTGTCCCCATCTCAGCTGATATGGCAGGGTCACTAAGCTGCGGTTCTCCATGACCACACGGACGCTCAATAAAACTCAGACTGAGCCACCTCAGACAAGACCACCCCCCAGGTTAAAGCGGGGGGAGAGAATTTTGGAGATTAACCCTCCCAAACAGCACAACTCAGGATTAATTTATTAAAGCTGTTCGTTTTCAGCCCTCCTTAGTTGGGGGCCTGGAGAGCGGGGAGAGACGGGGTCTGGAATCTGGAGGGGGAAGAGGGTGCCCCTGAGTGCCTGGACCCCTCGGTCTGTCCCCATCTCTGCAGTTGCCTCCATGTGCTGTGAAGCTCCCACCCTTGCTGGGCCAGCTTTTGGGGGTGCATTCCTGCTCTAGTCCCCAGGGGCCAAGGCTTGTGGCAGGGAGGCTTCCGGGTGGAGCTGAATCAGCCCACCCGTTATTGGCTGTCGTTGTAGGTTTTCTTGGCTTTACTGTTGTTAGTAATTGAAAGGTGATTGAGTTATTTCAAGTAAATGAAGACCTGGTAGTCTTGCCAAAGTTGGCATCTTATTCTTAGGCCGCCGTTGTTTGTCCCCTGAGGCTGGGGCGGAGTGACAGGTGACCTCCCATTCCCTCCCGTGTTCCCACCCCTGCATTCCCCACCCCAGAGCCCTCACCCCACAGTCTGGGAGGAAATGAAACCGGGTAATCAGCGAATGCTCTTTCATTCATTCTGCCAATATTGTGGTTGGGTTTTTCACCAGTGATGACAGATAAAAATGCCTGTCTTCCTGGAGTTTACATTCTTCTGATGAGACAGACAATGAACAAGACAAAGGGAAACATACAGTATGCTAGATGTGGGTAGGAGCTGCAGAAAAGCGTGGTGAGGGGCGCTGTGGGGGAGTAGATGTAGTTCCCAGTAAGATGGGTAGAGGGGGAGGGGCGGGCGCCAGCCTTGCAGATACCTGGGGTAAGAATGTTCCAAGCAGGGCTTATACACATCATTGCTATTCATCCGGTTAAATTCTAGACCAATACCGTAGATTCCCTGCAGAACTGGTACAGAAGAGGAAGGGAGGGAAGGTGAAGCTGGGCCCAGAGAGGAGAGTCTGCGTGGCTTCCAAGAGCAAGGAACGCCCCCACCCCACCCCAGGCAGAGATCCGAAAGATGAATGGGGGTTTGGCAGACCCTGAAGGATGAAGGCAGGAGGAAGAGGGCCTGCCCTTGCACGCAGGTGTAAAACAGCCAGGAGTGTTCAGGGAACTCCCAAGGGGTGCGTGTGCAAGAGGGCAAGGGGGGCAGAGGCTGGTCGCTGGGGGTCCACGCACCAGGGAGCCACTGAAGGGGGCCTCCAACGAATTTTTGGATGGTCAGATTTGCTGGATAGGAACTTGCCCGCGGTATGGGGAGTGATTGGGATGAGCAGGAGAGAGTTGCTGGTGTCCCTGATTGTAGGTGAGGCACGGAAAGGACATAGACCGGAGGGGTGGTCAGAAGCGTGAGCTTACAGGTCTGGGGGTGAGCTGGTGTGCGGAGAGAAGGGAAAGCTGGGGGCGCCCGGTGTCAGCTGGGGCTCCAGTCACAGACCTGGAATGAGGTGGAAAGCAGGCTCAGGGGAGGATGCCGAGCCATTGGGAACCCGCTGCAGGCTCTCAGGTACCGGGGCAGCAGGTGGGTGGAGATGCCGCCCCCCGGTTTATGACCCCCCCTAACCTCTGCCTCTTTTCTTCCACAGGCTGCAGCCAAATGTGGACTCTTCTTGTAAGTCTGGGATTTGGGCTATAACGTCCAGTCTGGGGAGGAGACACCCCAAATCCTTCCCTGTCTGCCTTCATGGGGGGTGCAGAAAGTCACCACTGCCTTTCTAGGGAAGAGGGTTTCCTACTCCCCCACTCCCCGCCCACTTCCTCCAGCCAAGCTGGACGGAGTCGCACTTGTGGGCGTGTCTGAAGTCTAATCCCCGCCTCTCTTTCGGCCCTTGGGTCTCAGGCTGTCTCTCCTCCGAGGGTATCCCCCCCGGGGGGTGGGGCATGCAAACCGGCTGTGTCGATCTTAATACATAAATGCCAAAAGGCCTGAGCGCAATTAGAAGGGGCTGGGGGGGGGGGGTGGTCCCTGAGCAGACGAATGTTTCCATCAAGTCAGCCCTGGATGTTCCAGGAACACCCTCTCCTTCCCACCTCTTAGTCCACGGGCACCAGCCAAGGGCCCCTCGAGTTAGCTCCCCCTGCTCCCCTCCCTGTCCATCTCCTTCCAGGGCTCTTAGAGCAGCCGCTACAACATGCCGCCCCCACACCTGCCCAGTGAAGTCGACAGGACATTCACTACACCCATTTCATAGATGAGGAGAGTGAGACCCAGAAAGGAGTGTAACTTGGCACAAGTAGTGAGATGAGCCTAGAATCCAGCTTCTGGGTCCCAGCCCCAGCTCGCCCACAGGGCCCAAGGAGGGCCCCTACTCCCCACCCTGCTGGGCCGGGGCTCCTGCCCTGAGTATATGCGTGAGTTGTGGGGAGGCTGGGATCTTCTTGCCACCTTGGTACCAACAGCCCCTCTTTGCCCACCCCCCCCCCAGCACCTGCCCCAAAGGATTCAAATGTTGTGGTGACGACTGCTGCCAAGAATATGAGCTATTCTCCAGTCCCCTGAGGTGAGCCCAGGGCCGGCTCGTCCGGCACGCTCCACACTTGTCGGGGGGCACCGGGACTTGCTGCCCGAAGGGCGGTCTAGGTTGGGGTGGGAGGGGTGGTGGGGACAGCCCAGGTACTCAGGGAGATGTCGGTGGTTCCTCACCCAGGATCTTCGTCATCACCTTCCTCATCATTCTGCCCCTTTTGTGCGTCTGCTGCCTGGCTAAGCGGTTCTGTCGCAGCTGTGGAGAACAGGAGCAGGACCCCCCAGTGGATCACCAGGGGCCCCCGGAGCCACCCTCCATTGCCCCCCCAGAGAGGGTCAGGACGCCCACCTCTGAGCCCCCGCCCCCCTACAGCGAGGTGGGTGTCTCTGTCCCACTCCTTGCTCTGTTCCTTAGCTGGCCCTACCTCCCTATTGTCCAGATTTTTAGAGCAACAGGTAACAGTGAGGCCCTCCTTACACCAGGCCTCCAGACCTAGAGAGGGCTCTGCAGCCACCATCGGGTCGCCCCTCTCCAGCCAGCGCTTGGGTGGTGATGGCTGGTGCCGAGCCCTGAAAAGACTCCATGTCCCCTGTTTTCCCTGCAGATTATTCTGAAGCCTGTCCTGCCCCCCATGGAGCCACCCCCTCCCTACAGCTTCAGTCCTGAAGAATATGCTGGGGTGCACCAACAACCCAGGGGCATCGACAACCCAGCCTTCTGAGCCCCCGCCTGCCTGCAACTGCAGTGTCAGCCCCTCCTCTCCAACGCCGCCCCCATTAAGCCAGAGACTCTTGGGACCCCTGTGATGCCCCCACCCATCCTGCCATGTCTTGGGCTGTTCTTGGTTTTAACTTATTGCTTTTCCTGTCCCAGTTCCACTTCAGTTGCTCTCGTCCCGAGAGCTGGTCCGGAGGGTCAGCGTCCTCCCACCCCCACCCCATCCCACGTCAGAGGCTGCCAGGAGGGACATGTGAACACCTGAGGTGCCTGACGGTGGAATGGGCTACTCTGAGAACCCTGTTTCTGTGGGGTATACACATCTTGACTGGACAGCCAGCTCCGAGATATTCTAGAGAGCTCTCCTGTTCCGTGGGAGATTGGACTGCATGGGCTCTGAGGTCTACCTGAATAGAGAAGACCCCAGTGTACCCCTCCACACACATGTGTCCTCACTAAATTTTAACTGATTGTCACTTGAGAGTCTGCCTCTGGCTGTGTGGGGAGGTAATGGGGGAGTGAGCCCAGGTGCTGCTGGGGCAAGGGGTGGGGGGGGTGGCGGGGGTAGGTCACTGCACCCAAAATCCCACCATTGATGTGTTGATGATGAGCCTGGGCAGACGGTACATCTGTGAACCGCCGTCTGGGAGAGAATCTTTGCAAATACTTTGACCCAGACTCAGGGCTCAGGGTGCTAAAGAGCCTGGACGGGGAACTGGGGATGGTGTGAGAGTGACTGTTCTTTTCTTCCCCATCCCATCCTCCCACTGCTCTGCCCAGGGGATGTGGAGCTCAGCTCCCTGCCTTTCTCACCACGGCGTTGGGAAGGGGGCAAAGGAGAGGGGTGTGGGGGAGGCTGGCCATCAAGGGGGCAGGACCTCCGGAGACCTTGATCTGCCCCACCCTGGAGTCTCCTGGAGGGAGGAGAGGAAAGGGCAAATTCTCCCTACTCTTCCAGCCCCTTCTGGTTCTGGGCACTCCCACCTGAGCTCACCTGTGGGGTTAACCCCTAAGAGGAAAGAAGCATTCACCATTGCATCACGGGAGAGTGTCTTCGTGGGGGCATCAGTCCCCATGAGGCCTGCAGCAAAGTGTGGAGCTGGGGGATTTGCATGGGGAATGCAGAGAGACCCCCCCCCCACCATGCTGGTGTCTCGGGGCTCAGGCAGGGTTAGGCTTCTCCACCATGACCCTGCCTTTGCCCTGCTCCCCTGCAGCCCATGAATGCCACCAGCCCAGCCTTCCTCCCCAGACACGGGGCACAGCAACAACACGGGCCAAAGCTCTTGGGAAGATCAGAGGTAGGACTGGCCCTCTGTGCGGGTGTGGATGCCTCCTCCAGTGCTCTCTCAATAATACCCAGCCTTAGAGTGTCACAACCCAGGCAGGTGGCAGGACCAGGGGCAGGGAAATGGCACAGCCAGCCCTGAAGATGCTAGGAACAGGGGCTGCCTGGCTGGGGCTGGGGACAGAGCTCCAAAGGGGCAACAGTAGTTAGGGACAATATCGTGTCGGAGTTGGCAGTTAGGAGAATGAGCACAGTCATGAGAAGTTTCCCTTGAGTTTCAGGGATTGATCTGGGGGAGCAGAAGGAAGATAGGTCTACCTTGTGCAAGTGTGGCTGTCCCTAGGTAGAGAAGTCCCAGGGCTGATGCTGCCCTCACTGGGGAAACACCCACCTGGGTGGGAGGACGTTAAGCAATGGGCTTTGCAGACCCGGAGGAGGATCCCCTTCAGCTTGGATGCTGCCTTCTTTTCAGCAAAGATGGCACGAGGCCTTTCAGCACCCCCGGCAGCAGCAGAGTGGTCTGAGAAATAGTCAGTGGTCATCCTGAAACCCAGCATTGCTGGGACCTGGTGGCAGACACCGCCAGTTCTAGGTCTCTCTGCTTATTGCTGGTGGGAGGGGAAATAGTGTGACCCTGGAGGGCAATCTAGCAGCATCCTTTCCCGCCACGGATCATTACAAAGCTCCTACTATGTGTTGGGCACTCTGCCTGGCACTGGGTAGCCGTTCAAATTGAAAATGTACATGACCCAGCAGTTCCACTTCTGGAAATGAGCCTTCAGAAAAGCTCAGACAGAGGAACTCAGAAAGATGTCCATTGCAACATTGTAGGTGGGGGGGGGTGTAAATCAAAACACCCTACATGTCCGTTGACGGGAGCCAATTAATATGCCAGGTCCATCCATAGTGTGAACGCCGTGCAGCCTTTAAAAAGGATGAAGAAGATTTGCAGCACCAACCTGTCACAACGCTCATCACTTGCTGTCACAGAGAAAATGCAAGTTGCGGAATAATAGTTTATGATCTCAATTTGTAAATATATACTTGATCATGCATATTTGTATACATATATATTTTTCCTTTGCAAATGTATAGAAAAGATCTAGAAAGATATGAACCAAACCACACCCACTGCCCCACTTCTAACAGTGGTTGGCACTGTGGGATGGAGGGACGGAGGTAGCCAATTGTAAGGGAGGATTTTTACTCGGTATGCTTTGTATTTTTTTACAATAAGCAAGCATTGCTTCCTTGAATCAAAAAAAAAATTCTTTAATGGAAATAGAGGCAGCTTTAGAAGTTTATGAAGACTCTCCCTGTGGACTTTGATCGACAGCCATTCGTATATTATCAGCCCTGCTATGAGGGAGAGGCGAGAAGGGCTCCAACATTTGGCACACATATGACATACGCAGTCAGGGACGAGATCGGCGGCGGGCGGGGGAAAGCCTGGACACCTGCCAGACGTTTGACGACATGTGATGCCCACATGTTAGCTGATGCAGCTCTGTGACTGGCAGGCACTCCGGGTGTCTGGCTGGTTGGTTGGGTGGATGAGCAATTTCACGGTGACTGAGAACTCATCCTTTGCACTTGGTTTAACAGCTTGAACCTAGTGAAAGAATCACTGAATTGAATGAATGAATGAATGAACGAACGAACAAACGAATGATTAACTGAGTGGGAGAACGAATGACAGAGCAAGTGTGCAGATCTGCCACCGGGCGTTTGTAAGGACCTGTGGGTGTGGTTAACAACAAGAAGGCGCTCCTTGTGGCTGTGGGCTTCTGTCTGCAGGAGACTCTCCCCAGAGGAGGGGGAGTGCAGGGGAAAGCTATGGGGCAGGGGGCAGGCTGGGGGATGGGGGGAGGGATGACACCAACAAGAATCTCCCCTCACTCTGGGGCTGAGATTCGTAACTCTGGCTTCCGACCTGGAAGTTTCTGCACCCGGCATCTCCGGGTCTCAGTTTCTCTGTACAGTGAAGAGGTCCCCCCTTCCAGCTCTGGTAGGATGTAGCTCTCAGACTCCCACATGGGGACGGCTAAGGAGGTAAGAGAATTCAGGATCCCCCTTGACTGCAACAGCCTTGCCTCCACCCCCGTATCAGCCACACACTCCCGCGTGTCATCCCTCAAACCTCCCGCCCCCTGAACATCACCTCCTATTCCTCCAGTTCAGACACTGCATTAGCCCCATGGCAGCAATTCTCTGAGCCCAGGAGCCCTCCAAGGCTTAGCCCCCCTGCAGTGCCATCCACCACATCCTCACTGGCCTCCTTACCCAACCTGGAGTCCTTGATCCAGCCTGATCATCACTGTCCTGGTTCTAACCCCTTGACCCCCTTCTCCATCCATCGTTCTCACCCGGCAAAACCCCAGACTCTGGTTGGGTCCAGCTTTTGCTCAAGAAGCAGCACACCTGTGCAGTTGAACTCACTTTAGAATCAAAACTGCAGATCCCAAGCGGGCCCTCAACTCCTCCAACACGCCTTCGAAGCTTCCCATCCTCACTCTTGAGATGACCAATTTATACCTTCTACTCTCTTTGAATCTTCCACACTCCCAGGCTCAATTTCAGCTGGTGATGGTGCCACAGACTTCAGAGACCAAAATGGATACAGTCACAGGAGAACCACCTGACACCTGACATCCCCCCTCTGGGCTCCACCCCTCGTACCCTCTCAGGACCTGGTTCCCGAAGTGATGCTGCATCAGCCATGTTTCCCTCATGAGTGGACCTTTGTCATTATCCTCTGGGCATAAGTACGCCTCATTGCCCATTTTAGAGAAGCCCTGCCCTGATACTCTCATTCCCGGGCCTGCTGTTCCATGCCCCTGCCCTCCCCCATTCCCATCCCAACCTGCTCCAGCCAGCCCTTTGTCCCCATCATTGACCTGCAGTGACTCTTGTCCACATCACCACTGACCTACATTTTGCCGAAGTCAAAAGTCAATTCTCTAGCCTCATGTACTCAGTCTGTCAGTGACATTTGACACACTTGGTTGCTTCCTCCTTCTCGAAAAACTTTCTTTCCCGGACTTTCCTGACACCACCCTCCCTGGGTTTCCTCCTACTCGCCCACAGCTCCCCCTTGGGCTCCTTCGCATTCCCCCCCTCCTCCACCGTCTTTGAATGATAGTTGGCGTGAGGGACCCAAGTTGACTTTGGCTCCGTTCTTATCTTCACTCCCTCCCGTAGTGGCTCTCATCCGGTTCTATGCCTTCAGAGACCATCTACTGTCCAACAGATCTCAAATCTTTAACTCTGGCCAAGGCTTCTCCCTTGAACTGCAGACTTCTGTCTTTAACTTCCGTTCAACTACCTAACACCTCCACTTGGACACCGAAGGAACACACCACAGCCACTGCTAGGTTCTAGCTTCCTTCCGCCCCGCCCCAAATCCAAGTCCTTCCCAAGTTGTCCCACCCCAAATAGATAGATGGCAGCCGGCCCACTGCTCAGGCCAAAAACCAGTGATTGTGACTTCCCTCTGTCTCTTACCCTCTCATCCTGCCTCTAAATTAGACCCATACGACTTTTCACCATTTCACTGTTCTAGCCCTAGACTGAGACATGGTCAAGTCTAGCCTAGGCCATCCCAGTGACGTTCCAACTGGCGTCCTGCCTCCGCTGCTCTTGCGTCTGTCTTGCCCCTGCTGTTCATCCTACACACTGAAGTCAGGGAGATCTTTCTAAAGCCCAAATAGGACACG